TCCGCAACCCAACCCCATAAATTACACCCAAGATCCGTTAGATGCATCTTCCTTGGATACCCTCTAGATTTTAGGGGATACCGATGCTTTGACCCTACAACCGGGAAGATCCACGTATCACGACATGTAACCTTTGATGAACAAACTTTCCCATACACCATTCCAACTCCACCCAAAATATACACATTTCTTGATGAACAACCACCACTAGGATTTAAGTTTATACAACCTCACCCAACACCAAACACCACCCAAACCCAAAAACGCCCAATCCCTCCTTACCCCATAATATACACCCGCCACCATAAACAACAGCCCCTTAACCCAGTGGCCAATGCTACGACACCCCAACACACTGCTGCACCTATCTCACAAAATCCCAACACTCAGACCACCGCTGTATCAAAACCCGCACAGAATACCCATCCAATGACCACTCGCTCCAAAGCTCGCCATGCCCTTATGACCACCTCAATTTCACCAATACCCACCTCTTATGCAAAAGCTTTTTCTGACCCTCATTGGTTAAATGCTATGCAGGCTGAGTTTCATGCTTTGTAGGAAAATAATCCATGGGAACTCGTGCCTCGCCCTCTTGACCGACCGGTCATTCGGTGTATGTGGCTTTTTCGTCACAAATTTAAATCAGATGGGTCACTTCAAAGGTACAAAGCACGTTTGGTGGTAAATGGACGTTTGGTGGTAAATGGCAACATTCTCAAACGGTGGCATTGACTGTGACCGATACTTTTAGTCTCCCGTAGGTGAAACCCTGCTACTATACGACTGTTTACCATTGCCAGTTTCCCGTTCTTGGCCAATACACCAGTTGGATGTCAAAAACGCGTTTTACATGGGCATTTAAATGAAACTGTTTATGCATCAACCGCCCGGGTTTCACAGATAGAAGATACCCGTCATTATTGTGGCAGATTTGAAAAAAAAAATCCCTTTATGGGCTCAAACAGCTCCACGGCATGGCTACAACCAGATTTGCAAACCCAATCTCTGTCTCATGGGTTTCGCAGCAGTTTGTGTGACAATCCCTATTCATGTTTCTCAAAGGGAAAATGCAGCTTCTTATTTACTTCATGTATGTGATGAGTATAGTGCTCACTGCGCTCTTCTAATGAGGTTATTGCAGAGATATTATCCGCATCTTCTCACGAGAGTTTGCAATGACAGATTTGGGCCGGTGCATCATTTCCTGGGAATCAAAAGTGGACCGGAATCTGTGGGTTATTTTTGGATCAGTCTCAAACACAAAGATATCATCTCCAGAGCTTCAATGTCCTCTTGCAAAGACCGTGTGCCACCCAGTCGACTCTATCATCAAAACTGAGTGCTTCTGATGGGACCCTCTCTTCCAGTGAGATCCAACATTATACCGCGTCTTGCTGGCCATTACAGTATCTCACATTCACACGCCCATATATATCATATGCTGTCAAAATAGCCTCTTTCATGCATGAACGCGCGGGGGATCGCAGCACTTGCCCTTCTCAAAAGAATAATCCGATATGTACCAAGGCACAGGTTGACTACGGATAAAGAATTGGCAGACAAAATACACATACCTTGGTAGCATACTCAGACGCAGATGGGTGGATGCCAGACTCCAGAAGATCAACTAGTGGTACTGTGTTTTCCTTGGTGATGAATTTGAATTTCCATTGGTCTTCAAACGGCAGCCTACTATCTCACGGTCCTAGCTGGCAGAGGCAGAATAATAGAGGAGTAGCCAATGCTTTGCACGAGACCACCTGGTTCGCAAATTTACTTTAAATGTAATTACCACCGTCCCACTTCAGCAGGCCTCCGTCGTATACGTGAACAATGTTTCCGCAGTGTATATGTCTGACAATCCTGTCCAGCATCAACGCCAAAACACATTGAGATTGACATATACACTTTTACGGGAGAAAGTTCGAAATAGCCACATTCGGGTCTCACATGTCCCATCTGCTTTTCAATATGCTGACATCTTCACCAAAGGCCTATCTCGACAGTTGTTCCAGTCATTTCGATCCAGCTTGAGCGTCTGTCCTCCGCCCGCTCAAACTGCGGGGGAGTCTTAGCCGATGATATCTCCACAAATCATTCCTCTGATTTAGGAACAGATTACAATTAATTTCCTGTAATTAATCTCTATAATTCCTTTCCATATTCTGTTTGTATTCTCCCTATTTAAAGGGCCTTATACATCAATACAAATCATCAAGAACTCCAAATCCTCAAACACTTTCATTGAGACACCAAGGCATCTATTTCTTTCCAAGCACTGTATGATGGATCTGTAGAGGCTGGGGGTGGCGTGTCATCAATGTGATCAAGAACACGGTATGCAATAGAATGAAACTTGAATAATTTCACCCATGATGTGTATGTAACTGTGCTACCATCTAGGGTTCTTAACTGTGCTACCATCTAGGGTTCTTATTTTTGATTGGATGTTAGTCACAGAGTAGGCAAGTAGGCAGGGTGAATGGGGGTGGGTGTTTTAGGGTTGGAGGTCGAAGATGGGACTTCTGTTTGTGTCATGGCTATCGGCGGCAGCAGCTAAAAAAAAATATGGGAGAGAAAGGAGAGGGAGGGAATTCAGAACTGAAGCTCTGATACCATGAAAGTGTTTGAGGATTTTGAATTCTTGATGATTTTGTATTGATGTCCAAGACCTTTTAAATAGGGAGAATACAAACAGAATATGGAAAGGAATTACAGAGATTAATTACAGGAAATTAATTGTAATCTGTTCCTAAATCAGAGGAATGGGAGATATCATTTTCGGCTAAGAGTTCATTCAACAATTCCATTTTTTGTTGAGGTGTATAATGCCAAGATAACTGATGAAAGAAACAAATGCTCAAACGTAGATGTCTTGATGATTTGTATTGATGTATAAGGCCCTTTAAATAGGGAGAATACAAACAGAATATGGAAAGGAATTACAGAGATTAATTACAGGAAATTAATTGTAATCTGTTCCTAAATCAGAGGAATGATCTGTGGAGATATCATCGGCTAAGAGTTCATTCAACAATTCCATTTTGTTGAGGTGTAAATGCAAAAACTGATGAAAGAACAATGTCAAACGTAGATGAGGCTTTATTATTGACACGCTTATGAAAGGAAACACGAGATTGTTTCCCAAGTTGACATGACTCACGTTCTAATATAGTTAAGGAAGATAAACTAGGAACTAAATCTTGAAGTTTGGTAAGACTAAGATGTCCGAAACAGTTGTGAAGAAGTTCAAAGGAAGCAGTAGAAGCGAAAACAACAATGGTTTTGATAGTGGAGAGGTAGTAAAACCCTTGTGACTTATATTCGACTCCAATCATCTTCCCTGTATGTCAATCCTACACAAAGACATAGTCAACTATAAAGGACACAATTGCAATTAAGTTGGTTGGTCAATTTACTGATGGAAAGTAAATTATAAGGGCATTCAGGAGTGAACAAGACTGAAGTCAAAGTCATTGAATGAGTGGGCTGAACTTCCCCAATTCCGTTAAGCTTAGTTTGTGAGCCATTAGTTAGGATAATTGTAGATGAGTCTGGAGGAGTGATAGTAGAGAAAAGTATTTCATTACCAGAGATGTGATTAGAAGTACCAAAGTCGAGAACCCAAGGATCATTGGTTGTGGAGCTAGATTGAGACACAGAGGATGACTGCTATAGTGCTTGCTTTTTGGCAACACGAAAGTGTACATATTCATCATAATCGGATCTTATCAAAGTTATCGAATTACCTGATGCATCAGGCAAAGGAAGAATTTTAGCTCCGTTACCCTGAACCATATGAGCAATTGGTCATCCAGTACTGGTAGACTGATGTTGTGGTGGTTTACCATGCAATGTGTAACAGTTTTCTCGGGTATGACCAGGTTTGTCACAATGATTGCAGTGTTTATTCTCTGTTGTTCTCGTGTAGTGACACTCTTTGAGAAAGGCATAACATAATTAAATTCATCAAGCAATGTTTCAACTTGTCCAAGATAACTAGCCAGATCATGTTGATTTTGCTGCAAATGAACAATATCAGAGACAACTTTGTATATTCGTTTTGTCATTTGTATACAACGTCTTGGCTTTATATTCTAGAACTTACAATAGGTTTTGCAACATTGAAATAAAGGAAGTAGTTTGGGATCAAGAGAATGCACAATAGACTACACAATTGTGCATCAATTATAGATCATGTTGTCCTATCTATGGCTTATTTCAATGGCATTTTTATTTAAGTGATCATTATATCCTTGTTCCATAAACCATAGTTCAATAGAAAAGGACCAAGGAATATAATTACTACAACCTAGAAGTTTCACAGTAGTAATAATAGGGAATTCGAAAAGAGAGGTTTAATTAGGATAGGTTCAGACATGATTCTGAGATTGACTTAAAAAGGTAAAAGAATTGTACCTTGGTAGTAGAGAAGAGAGTGGCTGTGAAAACCTTAGCCTTGAAAAGAGAGAGAACCAGTAAAGGGAATGACCGGAAAAAGAACCGCCGGACTCAGGTGAACCTGACAGTGGTGGTCGTTGGGAGAAGTCGCCGGGAATCTTGTGGCGGCGCGTGGTGGCTGCAGCAGGGTTTCCGGCGCTGGAATTTTGTGTCTGAGGTCGTCGGAAGCTGGTGGACCGATCTACGATGGCAATGTATTAAAATCTCCTCAGATGTATGCGGATTCAATTGGTAGTGGTGTTTTGTTTTGACAGGGCAGAAAAGGGAAAGAGGAATTTGTAGGCTTACGAAAGAAAGAGAAATTAGGGTAAGACAAGAAAAAGAAAGAAAATAATCAGACCTTTGCAGGCTTTGATACCATGAGAAATTAGAGAAGGTTTGAAGCTTTTTGCTTCATTATTCCCTTAAGCACATTAGGTTGAAATAGAATCAAAACAATACAAATTTTATAAGTCAACTACGAATTACAACCCTAATCATATCTAGAATAATTGCAAGATATTCTAACAAGTTAATTTTTTGAGATCATATTTCAGGTTTTCAGCAGTTTTCAATCATGACGATGATTCAATGCCAAGGGTTTGGACTGGAAAAGAAGACATAAGGACTATTACAAAGGATGCAAGATCTGCGGTAAACCACAGGGATTTTTAATTAAAGGCCACTCTTTCGAATTATACTTGAGTAAGATTCTGAATGTCTTGCAATTATTCTGTTACAGTCTTTGAAACTTCTATCAGTCATGGCAGCCATACTCTTAGATGAGAAGCCAGATAAAATTGAGAATGTACTCATTTCCTCTCTCATGGATGGAACTGTTGCTGTTCCCTCTTCCCAAGATAGAAGCATAGAAGCTACTGTGGACCCCCTTGCTTCAAGCACATGGGAAGAGGTAAATGTGGTTAAGTGTTATCTTCCTCCATCTCTTTGTGTGTGTGTGTGTGTTATTTTCTAGGACAATTTTGCGTTGATAATAATAAGTTGATTTTTGATTTGTCATGAAAATTGAATGTGATGCAGGTTTCTCTAAAAGATACATTGATCACGCCAGTTCAGTGCAAGTCATTATGGAGGCAGTTCAAAGCAGAAACCGAGTACTCAGTTACTCAAGCAATTTCAGCTCAGGTAACTTATTTTCATGTTCATGTTATTATTCTGCAGTTTTGCTTAGTAATTTGATCATATGCATAGTTAATGGCAGAAAATTTTCCAATATTGAGTACATATTGTTCTTTCCCTTTTATGCTCCATCATCTGGTTATCTTGCAAGGAAAAGAGTCATCTTGATGTTCTTATTATAGGAACTTATCCAGCACTCTGACAGATGGTTCTTGTTTTTTATTCAGGAGGCTCATAAGCGCAGCAACAACTGGTTACCCCCTACATGGGCAATTATAGCAATGATTGTCCTTGGTTTTAATGAATTCATGCTTCTGTTGAAGTAATTACTTCTAACTTGAAATGGGTCCTCAACACTATCAAAAGAACATATTTTATTATGTCCTTTTTCTCTTTCGACCAGTTAGTATATCCATTTTGACATTTTTGTTCTATTGAAACAGGAATCCTCTTTACCTCATGGTTCTGTTCATTATATATTTACTTTCAAAAGCCTTATGGGTACAGATGGACATCGCAGGACAATTTCAAAATGGCACTGTGAGTTTAAAGAATGATTGTCTTCTGAATGCACATTGTTACTCTAATGCAAGTGCAATTGACTAAAATTTTTCATGACATAATTGAATTTTCATTTCATTATTCCCTTAAAAAACAGGAAAATTTTCATTTCATTTCATCAAGGTTTACAAAACATGCTTTTATATCATGTGATCCACTGCATTGGTGCCTTAACGGGCAAAAGTTCTTTTGTAATTTGCACACCCTTCCCCTATTGCATTATTTTGTCCAGTAACACGTGAAAACATTTATAAGAAAATTGCACAGCAAATTCAAAAAGCTTACCCATGTCCTAGAACAAATCCCAGCATGGCAAATTGGTTTTCAGTTCCTATGGCAGGCCATTTATTGTTGAAGCAAATGACTGGGAAGCAGGCTACTTCTGGACAAAATCATCTTCTTAGAAGATTATCTATTGTTTGATTGTGCTGCTCAATGCCTCATTTCTTCACTTGGTTATTTGGCAGTTGGCTGGAATATTCTCCATTTCTTCAAGGTTTCTTCCTACTGTTATGAACCTTCTTAGGCGACTAGCTGAAGAGGCTCAAGGGCAACCAGCTCCTGAAGCTCCAAGACCACAATCGCTGGCTTCTCACAGTTTCAGGAACCACACTCAACCGAATTCAACGTTAACAACAATGCCTCAGTCTTCTGTATCATCAAACATTTCATCATCTGAAGATGGTGTTGAATACACAAGCCCAGACTTGAGACACAGACAAAGTGCAAAAAATCCAGAAGTGGAAATCTCTTGATAGGAGCAGTACTTTGTGTGTGTAAAATATGTATCAATGTAGGAGATGTTTTTCTTCTCTTCCTGCCAATAGAAACTAGAAAGTAAAAGAAAGGTGAGAGAAAGGAATGTTCATTTCACACATATGGGGGTTTTACATGTGTAACCGGTAAGTAATCTGTTTTTCATAAAAATGTTTCTTAGACTATAAATTGTTGAGAAAAATCTCCCTACTTTATTGTATTCTGTTATGAATTTATGTTACCATTGAATTAGTTTCGATCTATTTGTGCGCCGACTGCGAACATTTTGGTTAACAATTATAGTAATAATATGATTACCACTGAGCTTGCGTTTGTATGTACTAATATATGATTTTTGAAAGTAGTTCCGAGCAAAATTCAGTAAATATTGAGCTGAATTAAATAAAAAAAAAATCATAAAATTCAAAATAGAAGAGAATTTACCTGCGCTGTGCGGAAATGTTAATTTGGATGGTACGTGTCTCGTAATCCTTTTTTGTCATTAGTCTGATCATTTTGTCGCATGATAAAAACAATCATCGTTATTATTTTTATGAAGCATCGACGAAATACATAAATATATCCTGAATTTTTATAAAAAAACCCCATACCACCCTAAACTCAAAATTGTCAATTTCGCTATTTTTAAACAGTTCACAGCATTGCGTGAAAATCACTTGCCTAAAGAGTGTGAAGCATAAAAAAAGGAAAGCTTATGTCGCATTTAAGTATAAAAAATGTGGTAAATAACAAAATTAAGATGGACATTTTCGTACTTTTAACACTTTCTTCTCCAACCTACCCACTACAATCTCGTCAACGTTCTCCCTCTGCAACTAAAATTATTTCCTTTCCCTGAATTTCCTTCATCAAATCTTTCAAATTATTTACATGAACTCAAAGCCTTTAATTTCAAAAATGAATGCAAATAAAATGCTAACTGGTTTATTATCCATATAATCTTGATATGAAAATTGGTGTAAAGCTAAGAAATTTAACTATATCTGCAAGTTCCCATTTAAAAAATAAATTGTAAAATCAAAAGCTACAGAACTATACTTTGATTGCAGAATAATATTTCACATTGTCTCAATAAAAAAATAAAGAAAGAATCTAGGAGGAGGAAAGAAGCTTCTTCTAATTTCAGTAAAAAAAAAAAAAAGAAGCTACGTCAAGGGAGCAAGATTGAAACCGAGAATAGTAACTTGAATCCAGGCACGAAATTTCTTTCATTTTCAAAGAAATTGGTAATAGGTGCCTCGATTAAAGCCGGAGATTTGAGGTCCGATGAGCATTCTGGTGACTCATCGGAGAAGTCTTTGGAAGAATACTCTCTGCATCGAAAGTCAGTGAAGCGGAGCACGGCAATGATATTATCGTCGTTTATGGTTTCTCATTGTCCCATCATCTTATATATATGAATGTCAGGATCCAAACCTTGAGCCGCACCAGCATTAGAGCCCAAACAAATTTGTAGAAATTAAAAAAAAAAAGAATATGTTTTATTTTTTTCAATCGTGTTATATTTTTCAACCTCTACTCCAATATATATATATATATATATACAAAAAATTATATCAATATAAGAAGTAATCTAAATAGGAATAAACCTAAACTAGTAAACACAATCTTTATACTAATTAGGAATAAACTTAAATTAGGAAACAGAATATTTACTTTAATCACAAAGATTTCAACTCCAAACCTTGGAGGCAGCCAGCATTGGCCCACAAATTTGTAGGAAAATTAAGATATAGTTTTATTTTTATTTCTAATCAGTGGTTATATTTTTCAATCCTCATACTCCATAATGTAAGCTCAAAGTACATGAGTCCGCCCTAGGTATAAACCTAATCTACTACAATGATACAACGAACAGAACCAGACCAACAATATCGCCACAAACATCCATTACACAGACGGCATCAAAAATCCTAAGTATACTTATATCTATATATACAAAAAATACATAATATCAAAAATATAAAGAAAAAGATAATTACTAAAAATGAGGAATAAACCTAACTCACGTTAAACAAATCTTAGTACCGTATTGACTACATCTAGGTAATTAAACTAACTTAAAATTAGGAAAACAGAATTATTTACTATTACTATCAACAAAAGATTTCAACAACGTACCCCCTTCAAAAACACACAATTACTAGCGTTGGTGACAACAATAAACCACCACAAAATATACATTCGATGCACAACAGACACCAACTTGCAGAAAACTAAAAAAATTGAAATATAAACTTCCATGCATTAGATATTACTCATGCCCAACTTGCAAACTAAAAGATGAAATAACTTGCCATGCAAACCTTTTGTGAAAACATCAGCTAGTTGCTCTTTTGAAGCAGCTATACAGGAGACACTTATAAAACTTTCAACTATCTTCTCTTTTATAAAGTGACGATCAATTTCTATGTGTTTAGTTCGATCACGTTGGAATGGATTGTTCATAATGCTGATAGCTGTTTTACTATCACAAAATAAGGATATATTTGTTGTTTCAACCAACTTTAACTCTTCCATTAATTTGCACAACCATAGAAGTTCACAGATTCCCTGTGCCATAGCTCTACATTTAGCTTCTGCACTCGACCTTGCAACAACAGCCTGCTTCTTGTTTCTCCCTGTGACCAGGTTTCCTCCAACAAAAACACAATAAGCTAAGGTTGATCTCCTGCCATCAAGGGAACCAGCCCAATGCACATCTGTATAGCCTGTTATTGTTAAATGGCCATGTTTAGAAAATAAAACTTCTCTACCTAGAGCTGATTTTAAAAATCTTTGAATTCGATGCACTGCTTTTAAGTGAGACTGCCGAGGGTCATGCATGTACTGACTCACTAAACTTACAACATAGGCAATATTTGATCTAGTATGGGTAAGGTAAATCAATCTCCCGACCAATCTCTAATACTTGCCAATATCAACTAAACTTCCCACTCCAGCTTGAAGCTTATGATTGGCTTCAATAGGTGATTCTGCAGGTTTACATCCTAACATACCAGTTTCTTTAAGGAATAGGTTTACATTCCAACATACCAGTTTCCTTAAGGAGATTAAGGATGTACTTTCTTTGAGAAATAAAAATTCCTTTTTCGGATCTAGCAACTTCTACCTCAAGGAAATATCTCAACTTTCCAAAATCCTTAATCTCAAATTCCCTAGCTAACAAACTTCTCAAGTGAGCCATTTCTTTTTCATTACTTCCAGTCATCACTATATCATCAACATAAACAATAAGCAATGTGATCTTACCTTTATGATGTTTAATGAACAAAGTATGATCAGCATCAATGAACAAAGTATGATAAGCATCGCTCTGAATATAGCCAAAAGAAAGCATAGCTTTACTAAACCTTTCGAACCATGCTCTTGGTGATTGTTTCAACCCATATAATGACTCTTCAGCTTACAAACTTTCCCTCTGGTTTTGTCATCATCAAATCCAGAAGGAATCTCTATATACACCTCTTCTATCAAATCACCATGTAGAAAAGCATTTTTAACATCAAATTAATGTAACTCTCAGTCAAGATTGACTGCACAAGACAACAAAATTCTGATTGTGTTCATCTTGGCTACAGGGGCAAATGTTTCCTGATAATCAACTTCATAGGTTGATAATCAACTTCATAGGTTTGACTGAATCCTCTGGCTACCAATCTAGCCTTCTACCTCTCAATTGAACCATCTGCCCTATGTTTAACTGTGAACACCCATTTACATCGAATTGGCTTCTTTCCTGGCGGAGGAGTTACAAGATCCCATGTCTCGTTTTTTGCCAAAGCTCTCATCTCCTCAACCATTGCATCCTTCCATTTTGAGTCCTGTAATGCCTCTTGCCAATCCTGCGGCCCTCTTGCCAAATCCTGCGTATAGGAAACAGAAGGAAACAGACAAAAAAAAAGGCCTATAGGAAGGGACAGAAGCATTATATGGAGAATTAAAAATGGAGATGGGAATGTTAGTGCATGGTCTCTAAATCCTTTTCTTAAGAGCAATAGAAATATCAAGGTCATGTTAGAAGGATTAGCATTTAAGATTAGGGATCAGAAATCAAAAACAAGAATTTAAAGTAAGGACTCATCAAAGTTCTTATTCTTTTCTGTATCTTTAAGGGACTGAAATTGGGAGACGACGGTTTTTGATTAAAGATGTCTCATTGAACTCCATGGTGTATCTGTATTAGATCCACCGTGTGGTTAGGTTTTTCAAATCAGTTCTATCCAATTTCCTAGAGATTTTGGGTTGGTTGCTTCTCTCTTACGTTATCTATGTCTTACCAGGAATCTTCACCCCTGGAAAAGAAAATGTCAATCCATCACCTCTCCCATCTAATATTTTTCTTTCCCCTGAAGAGGTGATTGGAAGGAAAAATAAGATTCAAACTCCCGAAGGTAATATCCTACTCACAAGTATTTCCCTAGAAGAAGGATGATAACACTATGTAATCCTTTGAAGTAGAAGAGTAACCAAACAAACACACACTTCAAGGCTCTAGGATTCTAATTTGCTTTAGGCCTTCTAATGAACCAAGCAAACAACAACCCAAAGGCGTTTAGGAGATGAATTATAAGAGTTTTTTCATATAAGAGTTTTTTCCTTGAAGAACCTCTAATGGAGTTTTAAAATCTAAAGTACGAAGAGGCATACGATTGATAAGGTAAGCAGCAGTCAAAATAGCATACCCCCAATATGGTTTGGGAAGATTCATAGTGAACATAAGGGACCTAGCTACTTTCAGTAAATGTCTATTTTTCCTTTTTGCTACTCCATTTTGAGCACTAGTATTGACACAACTAGTCTGATGTATAATACCATTAGAATCTAAATAGGTACGAAAAACTGCATTCATGAATTCAGTACCATTATCAGTTCTTAAGATTTTAGCATGCGCATCAAACTGAGTACAAATTATTTTATGGAAGTTCTGAAAACACGAAAAAACTTCATTTTTTGTTTCATCAAATAAACCCAAGTCAATCTAGTGCATGCAACAATCAACTAAAAGGTCACAAACTATCTATAACCAGAAAGAGAGACAATTTTTAGTAGGAACCCCAAAACATCAGTGCTCTTCTATCTATTTGCCAGTGGTTCTTCCCAATAATAACATGCGCCAGCTTGCATAGGTACTATGTCACATAAAAATTTCATCTTCATACCCTTCCAATAGAAAATAGGCTACAAGTACCCTGTCGA